CAAGGGTGTCTCCTCCCTCCACTAACTAATGGCAACAAATGGAATAAAATTTCTTTGGGCGTTGAGTTTTGTCAGCATTTCTTCACTGAGGTTGTGAAGAGTTGGATCTGATCAGCAGAAGGTGCTAAAGACATTTGCAGACTCCTTCCTCTGGTTGTTATTATTATTATTATTATTATTATTATTATTAAGCATCTGAAGTCTTGGCAAGATCCCATTCTTGGCCTCTTCATTCTCTTGCTTTGTGACTGTGGAAATGAACAGAGGCTGAGAGAATGGTGTATTTTCTAAATTCATATTTTGGCAGAGCATAATTTGGTGGTTTTCAGTGCTGAGCTCAGACTCTTCTTTTGTCCTCTCCTGGGCGAGTCAGGTCATTTGAAGGTGTAGAAAGATGACATGTGACTCTAACCTAATTGACTTTATTCTGGCTGGGGCAGGGGACGAGCCCAAAAGAGAATTTTACTCAGCTTTCATACCTTACAGATCTTTTTTCTTTTCACTCTCCAACAAGGTCTGCTGAGAACAGACCCAGTACCTGAGGAAGGAGAAGATGCTGCTGCCATGATCGGTACCACTGAGTCTCTATCAGAGGAGGAGCAAGAAGAGCTAAGAAAAGAACTTGTGAAGGTAAAGAAGCATTCCTCTGGAACGTCATGTTTTGCACTTCAAATATATTGTCGTTTGTTTTTCTAAAGCACATGGTAGTGGCTTACAGTCAGTTTCAGGGGAGAGAAAGCACCATGTGTCCACTTGGCCTAGAGGTCTCGAGCTGGGAGAGGATATGGGAGAGTGTGAGGTCAGTTGGTTTTTGTGTGGGGAAGGCGTGTGCAGGTGAAGTGCACCTGAGAAGTAGGGGGTGAAGTGGAAAATGGGTATGAGGGGTATCAGTGAGTGTCTTCTAAGGGACCTCAGTAACCTGAGGCACGTGGCTTTTCACCTGTTTCAGTGACTTTGTTCTATCCTTGGCAGTGTTGTGGCTAGAGGCACTTTGAACCTTCTTTCCTTCCTTCCCTCTCTCTCTCTTTCTTAAAACTAACCATTTTAAAGCGTACAGTTTAGTGGCATTCAGCATATTCACAATGTTGTGAAACTGTCATCTCTGTCTAGCTCCAAAACGTCCTCCTCACGTCCAAAACAGACCCCATCCTCACTAAACTGGCATCCCCAGTCTTCCCTCCCTCAGCCCCTGGCAACAACTTATCTGCTTTCTGTCTTATTGGATTTACCTATTCCAAATATTTCACTTAAATGGAATCACATAATAAATGACTTTTGGTACCTGGCTTCCTTCAGTTAGCATAACTCTTGGAGGTTCGTACCTGTTATGCGGGTACTTCACTGCTTTTTATGGCCGAATGATACTCCATTCATTGTATGTATCGACTGTATTTTGTTTATCCATTCATCTGTTGATGGACATTGGGAGATGTCCACCTTTTGACTATTGTAGATACTGAACTAAGGAGTATGTGTGTGCTTGTTTGATTACCCATTTCCAGTTCCTTTGGGATAAACCCAGAAGTGGAATTCCTTGCCATGTGGTAATTCCATGTTTAACTTTTTTGGGGGAAACTGCCAAACTGTTTTCACAGCAGGGCCACCATTTTACGTCTCCATCAGCAATTTCTCTGCATTCTTGCCAAGGTTTAAAATTTTCTGTT